TTACGATATAATATATCGAATGGGGACCAGTTTTCGTAAAAAGATGAGTAAAATATGGGTCAATTCATCTGTTTTAGGAATAAATTATAAGTATTAGTTCTCGAAAGAATTTGTACGGAGGGACTCGGATGATGGAGATAAAACTGAAACAAAACTATCCGATTTATAGGAAGAATATATTATAAGTGGGGACCAGCTCTCGTATGCAAATACTGTATTATAAAGCGGCGGATCTGCTTAGAAACTTCCGGAAAAAACACAAAACTATCCGATTTATGGGAAGAATATATTGTAAGTGGGGACCAGTTCTCGTATGCAAATACTGTAACATAAAGCGGCGTATCTGCTTAGAAACTTCCGAAAAAAACCAGCATAAAATGAAAATTATCGAACGCAAAGAATGAAGAAGGGCCAAACTTAGAGGTCGAAAGACTCACCCAGCACCTGACTTCAATGCTAAGGTGTGCGGCATTGGTAAGCATCACACCTGTGGATGTGTAGAAGCCGAAAGTCCACAAACCGCAGTCATAACCAACGAAAGTCTAATAAAAGAAACCTGATACTTCCAGAAAAAATATTTCCAAATTCTTACCCAATGCGCCACATAATAAACAACGGCTGCTTGCCATATCCCGTCAATAACGCTGAGAGCAAAAAGGCTAAATGTGTACTTGGTTCCTTTGCGGCCTGATGAATACAAGCTCGGATCTTCAAGCAGATCCTCAGCCGAACGATCTTGATCGAATACACCAACTATTATAGGTTGGACACTGTAAGAAGTATAAACAGTTCTTTGGCGGGAAAATAAATCCACTCACGCAGAAAAGATGATTGGATATAAGATGGTATAAGTGGGATCATTAGTGAAAGCTGCTGACCATCCATCATAAAATTGAAAGAAAAATAGAATAAATACATTGTTCTGAAAAAATCAACTCAAGACGTGATTACAGACTTACCTACCTGGCTAAATCACTTACCGTATTCTTGTAAAGAAAGAACAAAAAAGTGAGAGCAAGACGATCATAGCACCAATGTCCATGCACCAAAAGGAGACGTCGAAGAAAACGAAATCGTGCAATAGCGAAGTCGCAAGCCATAGCCGCCTATAAAAAGTGAGAATAAAGTATTACAGAAAAGAAAAGCGGAAAAAAGCAAGGAATTCTAAAAACATATGAAA